TCCATCCCTGGAGGTATTTAAAGAACGGATAGATACAGTGCTCGAAGACATGGTATAGATGGACTTGGCAGTGCTGGGTTAACGGTTGGACTCGATGATCTTAAGGGTCTTTTCCAACCTTGACGATTCTGTGATTCTATGATTCTTGTCTCCCTCCTGCAAATATGGTAAAGGCAAAGCCAAGGCTTTCTTGGTCAATTCGTGATTGAATAAGAGCATCAATTGTGGCCCTAACTTGAAGCCACATTGGAGCTAATGGGATCTGAGCACGTATCAGTCCGGGCACTTAACTGTGTTGTTAAGACTCACTCCAGCAAGGGGCAAAGTGCTTTGGATTAGACCGTGAGAGCTGCTTCAGTGCCTATAAATGCAGCTAGATCCAAGGGGAATCTTCGGCTTGTCCTGGCGTCTCATTTCCATCAGGAATTACCTGTCACGGCAGAGTTAAAAATCCCAGAAGGTCCTTGGCCTGTTTTCCAGGTGTGGGTTTAACAGCCAGTAATGCAACAGTGCATTATTTTCATTAGTTTCTTACAGAGGGAATGCATCTCTAGCGTGTCTGATGAGACGCGGGCATTTTTGTGGTATGCACGGGGAATAAAAGCGCAGATATCTTGGTAGTACATCTCTATTAACCAAACTGTGCTCAAAGCAGCAGCCGTGGTCAGGTCTTAGAGGTGAGGCAGTGCTGGGCTTGTTGAGCGCTGGGGTGGGCAACCGCTGGGCGATGGCAGGCACAGAAGTCTCAACCAGCAGCATCAGGGAGAAAAACCTGACCCCCCAAGCTAAAAGACTTTTATTCCCTGAGGATCTCAGCCCAGCTGATAGAAGGAAAGAAAGCAAAGGAGGGCAGGGTGATCTTACAAAGCAAGATACCAGGAGAAAAACCCTGTGTTCTCTCGGCAATGACACATGGAAGAATCCACCTCCATCCTCCTGCTCCAGCCACGGTCTGCAGCGTGCTCCTGTTTAGTTGCAATAGTTAATACAGTTTATACAGATATTCATTCTGCCAAGTTTGTCTTTTGGCTGTGATTTGTGGGAGAAGCTACTGTAGATGGTCGTTTTCTCAACTGTAAGTAGAAAGTAAACACTTACAGGAATTCCTTATGCAAGAGCCAGGCTCACTTCCCTTCTTAAGAAAAGCAAAGCCATTCTGCTAAACGCTCAAGGAGGAAATGCTTGTGGCTCCCAGGTCACGGAAAGCTGAGTCCCCTCTACCCAGAGAAAAAGGTATACAAAATACACAAAGAATGTTGTTAGCAAAACTGTTTGCTCAGCAAGCACCTGCTCAGTTGGTAACTAACGGACAAAAAAAAAAAAGTGTTAAGGAAGAATTGCTTTGAATGAAGTCGTTATTTATTTCTCAAATACTTCGATGTCATAGATTCCTGCCAAGTATTTGTTTGCAGATGTTTTTGATTTAAATGCAAGTCTCTCATTACCCATCGAATGCCCCTGCTATATAAATAGAAAGCTGTTGTAAGCAACAATACAACCACTTGGTACCGGTAAGATGAGAAGTGATTTCAGGGTGGACTCTAGCTATTAGATGGGGAATGTGTTGGTTTTCTGGCAGTATATAAGAAACGCCCTTATCAAAGGCTGCTGCACAAGTTGATGTATTTAGACATAGGGTGCAAGAGTCCTTATCTCCTCTGAGACATGACCAACCAGAGTCCCTTTAAAACCTGTGCAAGTTTGAGAAGTTAAAAATCCCTGAATTTAAAACTTTTCTAGGGTTTTACCATTCTTAATCAATGGCAAATACAGGTTAATTTGAAAAACACCAGAGAGGAAAGTTAAGGACCTTCCTAATAGATCAGAGGATTCCCAGCCATGACCAGAAGTGCAAAACTCAACATCCTTGACTGGTGGAGCTTGGGAGTCTGGGCAGAAAGGGGAAAGCTTAGCTCAGGGCCGGACTGACGAAGATAAATTAAAAAACGCAGAGGGTACTGCAAAATGAAACCGAAATGGCTCGGATAAATCCAAGAACAGTTTAGCAACAGGATTCACAACATTTGAAGGCCTCAAGGAAGTCCAAGGTCATTCATTACTGCTGCTCTTTATCAAGACATTAGTGCAGATCTGGGGTGCCGCTTCGAAATTTGCAGTGGGTGTATTATTTCCAGACAGATATTATTTCCAGTTCAGCCTATGTATGAGCTGAACATCATGGAAATGTGTTATCTGCAGTTCCCTCCACTTGCTTTGTCATTGGTGACCTAAAACACCAAATGCTGAGATTTTTAAAGCAAATTTGAACAACTCTCCATCCCATCCAGAATTGCTAAAATAAATGTCCAAACTGAACTTGCCTGAGCAAACCATGGAGGGAAGTGCAATGGGTTGTAACATGACTTTTCTATGAGCTGCCCTTCATTAAAAATAAGTAGTTCGTTCTGCAGTAGGCTGGGTCTGCGTTGCATCTTTCTCATAGGGGAAAAAAAAAAAAGATGGACCAGATTACTTTTGTAAAAGGAATCAAAGGCTTTCCACCTCCGCACCTCCACAACCCAAAATGTCCTTACACCTCACTCACTTCCCCAGCAATTCTGGTGTCTCAGCCTTTGAAAAATAAGCTCCAGACACCCCCAAAAAAAACTGTTGAGGCAGCTGACTTCCTCCGTTGCGCCCTTCCTCTGGGCCCTGACGTCTGCAGCCTTCAGGACCGAAGTTCCTCAACCTTCCAGAAATTTGCTCTCCCATCTTGGTGAACCCTCTGCCCTTTCATTGCTCAGACTTCTCCTATTTTTGCTCTTTCCACCTTCTCAGCTTTTCTTTAAATACCCTTAACCTTCTTACCAGAAGAACACTGGGGAACAAAGGATGAGCTGGCTTCTCCACCAAGGCTCTGTCTGTTGCTCTAATGTGGGGCTGGACTTCAACCTGTGTTCTCCAAGCCAAAAATCAGATCTCCTGGAGCTTATTTTGTGTAGGTTGGTGTCCCACGGATGGAGTCTAAGACCTTCTGTTTGCCTTGGCTTGGGAGGCAGAGCAAAGCACTGGGTGGGTGTTTGCACCACCTAACCTTAGGTGTGAAAATGAAAGAGAAGTGCCAGCAAATAGTTTAGACAGTGGTGTTTTGGATTTTTCTTATTATTTAGCCGCTGATGTCTTTTTTCCAGAAGAAATTGCTGCGTTTGGTGTATATATTTAGTGTCTGGTACGAGCTGGGTAAGTGCTTGTTTCAGAAGGGGACGAGGGAACACGTCAGCCCCGTCTCTCCCCATCAAATCAGGACTGTGCAGGGGCTGGAGGGGATGGGGAACGTGACCCTTTCCATGCCTGTGCCTCT